CCGGGAGCGCGCGCCGCCGCCGCCCCGCCTCCTTTCCGGTCCTCCAACGCGCGCGCACCCGCCCGCGGGGCACGCCCACCGCCCGAGAAGCTGCGCGCTGACAGGCGCCTCTCAGCGTCAAGCCCGCCCCTCCATCCGCAGCCTTGCGCCGCAGCCAATGAGCGACGAGAACGTGAGGGGCGTGGTTTCGTCACGGGAGACCCGACCCCTCCACTGTCTTCCCATCCTTCCGCCGGAGTTGCGAGTGGGCGGTGTAGGTTGCTCACCCCCAGAGCTGCGTTTCGTGGTCAGGGGTTGGGACTGTGGGGGTCTTCATTTTTATGTGCCAGTCATTTTCTATTAAAAAGCAGCAAAACAAGGTGGTTTAGAGCCAGACCTGATGTGTCGTGTTTAGAAGTGGTGCGTTGCAAAAACGCCTGCTTCTCTGTTCCCCTTTATCAAAACCGGTCAAAGTTAGAATTTAAGCTTTTTTGGAGGATCTGGGGAAAAGGAAGAAATGAAGCCTCCCAGGTTCTTAAAAGCAGACACAAGGCCCAGCATTGAGTGCCTTGACTGTCCACGTCCAACCTTAGTCCAGCTCCTGTTAATCCTCTACTTTCTGCAGAGTAAAGCTGCTGGGGAGAACAGCTGGTTGATGTTATGCTAAATATTTTCACTTCAATAACTGAAAGGATGACCTCCCGAACCTCAGAATGAAAGACGACAATCGTTGTGGAATTACTGTATAGTACCACATATAAAGAATCTAGAGTCAGTAAGCAATCTATAAATACGGAATTAATTTATCATATGCGCAATACCCTGAGAGTCTTTAGGTTCTGACTATTCCTGACCTTGAAGATACTGTCTACCAACACCTTTGTTGCTTTCACAGCTAATGACTTTTGTAATTATAAAAATAGGATTCAGGGGGTCCAGTAATATGAAATTAATTTTTAAAAAAATTTTTGCATTCGTAAACCAAACTAGGTAAATACCATCTGTTATCGAATATGATGGATGTAAATCAGAAACTGATGATCTGACGCTAATGTTGGCTTCTCTTGTCGATATTGTTGATCTGCTTCTTTTGCGTCATTCATTGCCAATTAATTTTCCTACAAGGATAAGGACAGGATTATTTCCAATTGTTGAGCATGTGCCTGGAATAGTTCTAGGCCTCGGAAATACAGCACTAATAAGGCAGAGTCCCTGTTCAGCTGGAATAGAGCCAAGAAACGAAAAGCGGATTAATTATACACAGAGAGGTGCTTAATTAAGTATAAAGCCTTAATTTTTATCTTCTAGGTAGCCACACTTTTTTCAGTAAAGGAAATATCTATCGAATGCTTACTATGCTGCAAGTGATAACGGAGATGTGTACTGATCACTTTCTGTTCTCATGAAGCAAGTGAAGTTAAAACAAAGTCAGGAATTTAAAGTATAAAACAAGTATAAATGCCAATGCAAGTTATACAATACTAGGACTTCAAGTGATAAAGAAACCATATCTGTGTTAAGGTGGGATAAAGCAGCATAAGCAAAGTATTTTAACACAATGCCTAAACATGAATACACATTATTATTCTTGTTATAGAATAACTGTCTAGGATAGGTAATCCAAAATATACTGAGCTGCAAGTATGGGTACATCTAAGAGATACCCAGTAATCTGGTACAGCTAAACAATGTATAGTGAAAAGAGTTGCAGCAGTAAACTTGGAAAGGTAAATTAAGGGATTATTGGAGAAACTAGACCACAAAGTTAGGCTTTATATTAAGGAAATTACATAGTAAGCAGGAGTGTCATCACTACACAGGCAGCAGTCTGTCAGGTGCATGAGCAGGGTGAACAACGGTGATGGCAGTGGGACAGAAAAAAAGATTTGTTGGGATGTACTTTTCAGAGTCAAAATCTTCATGACTTCTGCAAAATATAAAATGAAAATAGATTATGAAAGTGCAGTTGAAATTATTGTTAGCACAGTAACATTTTGAACATTAGTAACCAGGAGAGCTAAAAATACAAAGTCCAGGAAAAGAAGCAGAATAGCAGTGAGATAGGGCATTCTGTTACTCTGCTGTATTTTTCCAAATATTTCTTTGAATTTCTGGATATTTAATCATATCATTAATCATATCATTTAATCATATCATCCACATAGAGTTTTTTGCCTTTTTCTTTCCTATTATTATATAGCTGATTTATTAATTTCAGTGACTAACATTTTCAACATCACCATCATTATAATACTCAATAATACTGGGGACAACTGTTACCTTTATCTTGTTCTTGAGCTGAGCAAAAAAGTTCAGTTCATTCTCCAACATGTAAGATGCTAGTTTTGAGATAGAAATATGTGCATGTGTGTGTGTGTGATTGCTGATATTAAGAAAGTATCCCTTGAGTCTTATTTAATTGGGAGGTTTTGTATTTCTGTTTTCACAAAAGAGTTATTTAATTTATGCATGTGAAAATTTCCAGAAGGATGAATCTTTTTTCCTTTTGATTGTTTTAAATTAATTTCTAATTTTATTTTATTTAGGCAAAGAATGCTGTTTGTGTTATTTCTGTTCTTTGGATTACCAAGGTCTTCTTTGTGTACTGAAAAATCACTTTTTTGACTACTGTAGTTTTCCAGTTATCCATTGAAGATAGATGGCAGGACCTTCAGTGGCTGACTGAAACTATGAAACTGTAGATAGTTTTGGACCCCATACATGCTATGTCTTTTTCTGTACATACATGTGATAAAGTTTAATTTATAAATTAGGCACAATAAAAGATTAACAACAGTAATAATAAAATAGAACAATCATAACTTTCTATAAATATTATATTCATAATAAAAGTTATGTGAGTGTGGTTTCCTTTTTTCCTGGTGCTTTGATCCTTTCACTTAAATGAGGCACTTTGCAGCTTCTTTCTGGAATATCCAGATAGTTAGCTTTACTACCTTGGTGCTTTGGGGCCTTTATTAATTAGGATAAGGGGAACTTGAACACAAGTACCAGGTATTTTAGTTACTTTTTGTCTCATTGCTGAGACAAAATACCCGACCCCCAGATTTAAGGAAGGAAGGTTTATTTAGCTCACAGTCTGTGGAGGTTTCAGTCCATACTCACCTGGCTCCAAGGCAAGGTGCCACATGGCAGATTGCAACCGTTCATGGAGGCAGAAGATAGCAAAAGCAGCAAGAGCAAAAAGGGAGGAGTGGTGGCGAGTAGCCTCTTCCTCTTCCTTACATAGGCAAACTATTCACCCCATGTTGGGTATAGCACTCACACCCAATCAATCATAAACTCTAAAAGCCAGCCCCATGACTGCGTGAGGCTTTAGGGGGACATACAGACACAAACCATAACACCAAAGTGCCATGACAGTTGATCTGATAACTGAGATAGCTAGTGAGTGACTCATGAGTGAGTAGTATATACAAGGTGGATACACTGGAAAAAGAATGTCTTGAGCAAGGGGGAACTACATAGCATGAGATTTCATCATTATGTAGAATGGAGCACATTTTTTAAACTAATGAATTGCTTATTTCAAGAATTTTCCATTTAATATGTTCAGGTCTTGGTTGGCCACAGGTAACTAAAATCATGAAATGATAAATTATAAATGTGTGTGTGAGAGGGACAGTTTTCAATGTGCATTTGAAAGGTAATTTTTTTTATTAATTGTATATAGAACTTTATAATTATATCTGCCATATTATATAATTTGTTTATTATATCCTCAGCAATTTTTTATAATGTTGATTTTCTTAGATTATAAAGGTTGTGTTAAATTTTCCAATGTTAATATGTGTTGTCTATTTTCCTTTTACACATAGCCTATAGTCTGCCTTATAAGAGTCATTAAATATTTGGTAAGAAAATATTAATAACTTACCTATCCATTATGAATGGTTCATTTTTAAAATAAAGTCTAACTTACTGTACACCAAAATTTCATAGAAGAACATTAAGACCCTGGTTTATCCAAAATAATACCTCAGACCTCAAAATTTAGAACTTTTAAACTACATATCCTATATATTTTGATAATTTCTACTCAGAACCTAGTGACAATACTGTAATGACTATGCTTTGTCAGTACTTGAAAAAGTAGGACATGATCAAATGGGGAAACGTGTCTACCTATATTTTTTAAATATAGGAATACACCTAGAAGAAAGTTAGAGTTTTGATCTTATTTGCAAATAACTATTTTTCTATAATATCCAGCTAAGGAGAAGGAGGAAGAATAAGTCATTTTATGAGGAAACACTTTAAAGCTTTGTGCAAGTGGACAGCTAAGCTATTTTAAAAGGGGATAAGCCTAAGGGGATAAGCATTCCAATGAAATATATTGTTGCTAAGAGTATCTACAGAGCCCAGGAAGTACCATACTCTGAAAAGGAAGTTCTTGCACTGGAGCATGTTTTAATTCTGGTACATTAAAGACTCAAATTTGAAGTAGTTTTCAGAAAGAAATAAATTATAGTGTCCATCTGAAGAGTCAGTGTTTTCTTATAGTTTCCCATCTCTTTCAGTGCCCAAGACACTGAACTTTGTACATTATAGATGCTCCTGGTGAAAAAGTTCTTACTAAGTTGACATACCTTGAATCCATAGACCATAATATTTTTGAAGAAATTCCCATGTAAAAAATGCATGTCATGCATAGGTAACAAATATTTTTAAGTGTAAGTTGGTAAAATGCTACAGTGGATATGTAAGCCAAATGCAAAGTAGAGGAAGGATGCATGCCAGGCTAATAAGCGTCAACATGCTGTGGTGAGCCTGGTGCTCACATTCCTTGCCTGGTCTCCCATGTTACAAATGATCATCTGATTCCCTACTTGTATACAGATGTTCTCTGGAAGTCTCATGCTGTCATATAGATGTGGCTTTTCAGAGGTGGCTGGATATAGGGTGTTTTGATGCTGGGATGAAGGGTGCATGATTTCTAAATTAGTCCAATGACTGGTTTACCATAGTTCTGGATTTGGGTAATGGGAAGGCCCACCCTGCATGTGGGAGGCATCACCTTAAAGGAGAGTAGCCTGGAAGGGATTAAAAGGTGAGGAGGCTACTGCTTGCTGCTCTCTGCCTTCTGCCTGCCATACCATGAACTGTTCCTCCTCTGTGATGCCCCTTTACCATGCCACCTTGCTTTGGAGCCAGATGACTATGGATGGAAACCTCTACAGACTGTGAACTGAAGTAAACCTTTTCTTCTTTAATTTTAGGTGTAGAGGACCACCTGGGAGGAGCAATTGTCTCCATTTTGGCTGAACCTGACCCTATTTCCATGTACTGTTATGTACAGAGCTGGCTAGGACTTTTCCTTATCCCTTCAATTAGCTTTAAGGAATGCATATCTGTCCAGCTGAGATGCTAATGTGTGTCCTTGAAGAAGGCAGGCAGTGTTTCCCTAGACCCTCCGTTGTTCCCTTGTGTGAGCCAGGACCAGGCAGGATGAAGAGCCTGTGCTCCACGCTGTTGGTTGGGATCAAACCTTGAGATAGAAGTTATGACTTCCCAGGGCTTGAAAGATTACATATCAGAGCTGACACACCAACCCCAAAACATTAGATACTATCTCAGTTGTGTTATGCAGATTACTCTTTCTGCATATTCTCTCTGCATATTGCAGAGGTGATTTTGGGCCTCCTTCCTAGCCCACCTTACAGCACTCACGTACCTCCTGCCATTCTCACAGTCACTCATCCTCAAGCCACTCCCCTTCCTCATGAATTAATAAAACTCGGGTTTGGCCCTAGGTCCAGGCGAGGCCTTTGTTCCAGATAGCCATCTTTGTGGCTGAACTTAGGACTCCTTTGGCTCCCCACAACTACAAATATGCCTTAGTGTCTTTATTCTCACTATGGATTGCACTGGAAGTGGTAGATTGGAATCAACTCACTCGAATTCCAAAAACTTTTCCATGGGATTACACATGTAAACTTCCTGGGCCCCAAAGAGGACTGGGAAGGGCTTAGTTACAAGAACAGTAACTAAGACAACATCATTCAGGAGACAGGTAGCAACCCTGGCAATCCTTGAGGTTTTCAGGTCACTTTATGTCATGACCATGTAGGCTCTAAACTGTTAAGTAATTTTCTGGGAAGGGATAGAACTGCCAACTGATAGACCAGCTGAGAAATTATTGCAGTAGATTTTGTTGTAGGTAGCAAAAGTGGTGTTTTGTTTTTTAAAGATATTTGTTTGGTTAAACATGTAGTCACTCAAGACTGGTAAATAGATTATGCCAACTGTAAGAATTTTAGGAATCTCCTGCTTGTGAATCTTTAAATAGAGAAGTTAGAAAAAAAAAAAAAAAAAAGTAAAAAAAAAAAAAACATTTTTCCTCGATAGCCTGTACCAAAACCAGAGTGCCAGAAGGAAAGGAGGCTTTTGGCATAAAACACATGGTTTCTATGTTTTAGGCACCATGGGCCACTTTTAACACTTACGGAAGGCTTAGGAGACAGTTTATGACCCAAGTTCCCATATGACCCAGGGGCCAATCTCACAAGCAGACCTTTCCAGGGATAGAAGTCTCAGGCCTGTTGTGCTTTACAAACTTGTTGCTTTCAGATCATTTTGTTTCTTTTCAGTTTCCCCAAGAATGATTCTGGTGACATGTATGAAAATTTAAGAATATAATTTTTGTCCCAGTATATTTCCTCCATTTATTTTCCTTTGTTTCTTACAATAAATTGCCTATTTGGCCCAGAGCCACTCAAATGGAGCTAATTTATCTATTCAGTGGACTATAAGAAGTTTAAAGAAGCCCACTGTCAGCCGTAGGCCCCTTTCCATAGTATTTTACCAAGCAGTTTCTACTTCATACTTTCATCTTTCCATCATATCACTTTCACATCTTGGTCTTTCACATGTCGCTTGCACTTTGGTCTTCATTGCTTTCTCAGGTCTCTTTCCTCAGACTTGCTTTTTGAATTGAGTCATAAATCTCAGTTCAGAATGTCTTAAAGATTTCTACAAAATCTAGGAAAACAGCCCCATTGTATTTTTCAGTGGAGGAGTAGTGTTTTTGTTACTATTTTTATTTCTATTAATCCCAGTTCCTACTAATGTAAAGTCAGTCTTTTGAAAGCAGAAAAGAATTTAAAATCACTGTATAATGTAAGGTTAGAAAAATTATCTATATGCTCTTAACTGAGAATACCTAACCAAGTCAGTAATCCATAAGTAACTTTATTACTTGGTAACTTTTTGTGTGTTTGTTTGTTTCTTTATGTGAGACAGAGTCTCACTGTGTAGTCCAGGCTGGCCTAAACTCAAGGTAATCCTTCTGCCTCAGCTTCCTGAGTTCTGAGATCGCACGTGTGCACCACCACAGCTTGTTACTTGGTAATTTTAAAACAAAATTTACAGAATATCTGAGTTCTTCATATCTTTCTTTGTAAGGTCTGTTCTAAAAAAAGAGTTATTTTAAAATAACTTGTTAGATGTTAGCTTCTGGGTACTAAAATATGTTCATTGTTTTTGCACTTCTGTGAAACACTATTATACATCTATAAATCCTTATATTGGAAGAAAGTATAAATTTATTTAAATGATGTGAATATACTATTAAAATTGAAATTCTTGAAACACAAACACTGCTAGGTTGTTTGTAATCGTGTCATATTGTGGGAGGGTGGAGAAGAAAAGAACTTGTGACCTGACATGAGATCTGCTAATAGATGCCAAGAAAATACTTCTGCCATGTGCACTGATTTCACCGTGTAGGCAGGCTGAGTGCGAAGTCATGCAAGAGCAATTGTGATTCAGGCAGCAAACAGCATATGAAGTCTGAGTT